AGATACTGGTCAAAGGACATTTAATCAACTACCAAACTCACAAATTCTGTATTTTGTCTGTTTGTTTGCTTTTTTCTGTTAGAAATGTAATATAATTGACTGGGTGCCCTGACACAACAAATAAATAACCAGGACTGTTGCGCAGCTGGCTGGGAGTCAGCTACATTAAGATCACTACTGACCACAAGGTCATGAGTTCAAAGCCAGCCCGGGTCGGAGTGAGCTTCCGACCAATTTGTGTAGCTTGATGTTGACCTTTGCAGCCTGAAAGACAGTTGCACCTGTCAAGGAGGAAATTTAGGTACTGCCTACGTGGGGAGGCTAATTTAACTAATTTACAATGCCATAAAAGTCTCCAGCAAGCCTGCAAAGAATGAGGAAGTACTTCATCAGTGTCACTAATGGACGGTGAAGCAACAGCTCCCCTGGTGGCCAGAATACCCTCATAAAAGTTGGAATGTTAAATAGCCTCCGTGTGTCTGTCTGTTGTGACACAGCTAGAACCACAGACACAGACCAATAGTGTTGTGACTCAGATGGGGTCTCAGAGTGACTGACGAGGATGATAGGATTCAGGTTCACAATCAGGTTCAAAATGTTCCTGTTGTAGACAATGAGGAACAGGGTGTACAAGTTCAGTTTCCCACAGCAGGGAATGATGTTTTTGATACTGAAACTAGCCAGGTGCAAATTGACTCAAAAGGAGGACAGTTCTCAGCCTGATAGTAGGCAGGAAGGCAAACAGGTTGACACTAATGAACAGCCTTATCTTGATGATATGGGAAGCTTAGATCGGGCTGACCGTTTGGAATTCAGAGTTCGAAGGAGTGTGAGAATAACCAACAAGAAGGAGGTCAGAGGCCAAAGAAAATCTTTCATGTATTGCAAAGGGTATTAAGCAGTGTGTTTGAAAACAAACTTTTGTCAGAGCAACTTCTCGTGCTCGTTTTCCTGGATTAGATGAAGGGTTAGAAGGCATGATCATCAAGTTTGCAGATGACACCAAATGGGGATCATCAAGTTTGCAGATGACACCAAATGGACACCAATACTCCAGAGGACAGGAGCAGGATTCAAAACGAACTTGACAGATTAGAGATGGGCCAAAACTAACAAAATGAAGTTCAACAGTGACAAAAACAAGATACTCCACTTTGGCAGGAAAAACGAAATGCAAAGATACAGAATGGGGGACACCTGGCTCGAGAGCAGTACGTGTAAAAAAGATCTTGGAGTCCTCATGAACAGCAAGTTAAACATGAGCCAACAATGTGATGCAGTGGCAAAAAAAGCCAATGGGATTTTGGCCTGCATCAATAGGAGCATAGTGTCTAGGTCCAGGAAAGTAATGCTCTCCCTCTATTCTGCCTTGGTTAGACCACACCTGGAATATTGTGTCCAATTCTGGGCACCACAATTGAAGAGAGATATTGACAAACTGGAATGTGTCCAGAGGAGGGCAGCTAAAATGATCAAAGGTCTGGAGAACAAGCCCTATGAAGAGCAGCTTAAAGACCTGGGCGATTTTAGCCTGAAGAAGAGAAGAGAGGAGACATGATAGGAGACATGAGAGGAGACGTGATAGCAATGTATAAATATGTGAGAGGAAGCCACAGGGTGGAGGGAGCAAGCTTGTTTTCTGCTGCCCTGGAGACTAGGACACGGAAGAATGGCTTCAAACTACAAGAGATTCCATCTGAAGATTAGGAAGAACTTCCTGACTGTGAGAGCTGTCCAGCAGTGGAACTCTCTGCCCCGGAGTGTGGTGGAGGCTCCTTCTTTGGAGGCTTTTAAACAGAGGCTGGATGGCCATCTGTCAGGGGTGCTTTGAATGCAATATTCCTGCTTCTTGGCAGGGGGTTGGACTGGATGGCCCATGAAGTCTCTTCCAACTCTTTGATTCTATGATTCTATGATTATCTTGCAGTTCTTGTGTCCATGGTCTTGGGATTTTGTCATGTTCTCATGGGACTTTGTTTCGTCGGTGCCTCTTGGAATCCTGCTCTATAGTGCCATGTTTTATTGATCTTTGAAACATCACTTGCTTTTTAAACTTTTCATCTTTTACTTTTTAATAAACTACAAAGACTTCAGCCTGTGTGCAGTTTTGGTGATTCAGCAAGGTGAATCTATTCTGAGGTGCAACACTGTCTGTATATCTTGTGTGTCTATGGCATTGAATGTTTGCCATGTACATGTACATTGTAATCTGGCCTGAGTCCTCTGCGGGGTCAGAAGGGTGGAATATAAATACTGTAAATAAATAAATAAACATTACCATTATTTTTGTTTAAAAGGAAGACAGATGTTTATGTTTAGCTTAGCTTTTGCATCATCTTGATTTACTCCTGGTAATTGCTAATATCACTTGGATTTGCAGATTAAAACAAAACCCAGCAGCTTTTTAATACTAATAGTTGAATGGCCTCTCATCTTTTCCATTTTAGTGCAATGCCACATGTGGCCGTGGTGTCAAGAGGAGGACGGTTTTGTGTGTGGGGCTTGAAAATGGCCTGTACAGAGAATATCCCGAGGAGCACTGTGATGCTTTCCCAAAACCAGATATGCAGGCATCCTGTTTCAAGAGACCCTGTTCAACATGGTTTTCAACCTCTTGGTCACAGGTAGGGCACATTTGGGGTGAGGACAGTGGTGACGGTGGAAACTCGAAGTAAGAATGGAAGGAATGAGTAAATATATAAAAATCTATATAAATAAAAATGTAATGTTCATTTGTGGGATTAACAGAACTCAAAAACCACTGGATGAATTGACACCAAATTTGGACACAATACCCCTAATGACCCAATGTATGTCCTTCATTTAAAAAAACTGATTTTGTCATTTGGGAGTTGTACTTTCTGGGATTTATAGTTCACCTACAATCAAAGAGTTTTTGACACCAAGGAAAAAAGGCTTTTGTGGGTGAGGGAGGCAGAAAGAGGGGAAGGAGCAGAAAAGAGGAGGGAAAGCTTGGAGACTGAGGAGGAGGAACGCACAGAGCCCCTCAGTATGTTTCGCAGAGCCCTAAGGGCTCCACGGAGCACAGTTTGAGAACTGCTCCTCTAGAGGAAGAGGATTCCATTACAATGGGGCCATGGCTGGATAATTTCTTTTTACTTGCTCCTTCAGTTGGTATAACAGTTGTTGCCCCTCACCCTCACCTCCTGCCAAATGGAGACATCTGTCAATCCTTTCCCAACCCCCTTCCTCTGCAGTGCAGCAAGACCTGTGGCACCGGCCTACGTTTCCGTGAGGTGAAGTGCTACCAAGGAGAAACCCTCGGACAAGGCTGTGAGTCAGCTTCCAAGCCAGAAGCCAAGCAGACATGCCAGCTACAGCTGTGTCCCACAGATGCCCCAGGTAAAGGGGGAGATTTTCCTCATGGAGACCCTTCCAGGCTATTGTGTTCAATATAGAACTTGGGGATTGTTCAGTGCCAAGGAACGAGATAATGGAGAAGGCTGAGAAGCTACAATCTTCTCAGAAAGCGGGGGAAGGAGCAAGCTCTACAACTTCCATTAACTGATCTATTTAATTCCTAGGTTGAGGAGGGGAAAGAAGATAATAATGGGGGCAGTAGAGAATTGTGGATTCAAGGCCAGGAGGGTTGTGAGAAGAGGGGAGTTCAGTTCAGAGGGATATGTGGAAGAGAAGAACGGATCGAAGACTAAAGAGGATTAGGAAAAAGAAAAGTCTTTTAATTGTTTTATCTTGTTTATGCGGCTGTAAAGAAGGTAATATTACTGCCACCAATTTATATTGTGGCGAGGGAGGGAGACTATTACTTTATTTTAAGAAAAACCTCTTTGCTCTTATACTGATTCAGTTTCTTCTTTTATATTAGCTGGAACTTTCTGTGTTCTGTTTAACCTTTGTACAGGCACTGAGACACACTTCTGTATAACGAAGTAACACAGTTTATAACTTCTGGCTCCAACTTTTGTAGTTACAATTTGTGTTTTGTTGCAATCTTGAGGCTTACAGTCAGTATACTTGGTTTACTTTTCTGAAATAGACTTTCAATGTTTCACATTCACAAACATGTTACTTGCTTTACACACTCTTGACTGAGATTATTTTCTGACGAAAGCACCACTGGCTTTCTTTATGTTCCTAAAACTTGATCTCTGCTTAACTAACTGCTTCTATATATCAGAAGTCTTTAACACATCTTCATAACTGCTTATTTCTAACAAGAGTTCCTAACTCTTTTCTCTCACAGAAGTTCCTGTCTCTTCACAAACCGCAATTCCTCAACTCTTTAGACTCTCTTAACTGCTTATTTTAAAACCTTGGCTCCGCCCCTTTGGAATGTTTAGCTCTGCTCTCCCCAACTGTCATTTTGGCCTAGCAACCTGTTCAAATCCTGGGCCTATGCTAATCTGCACATGACCAATCGGCTTCCATATGCAAATGAATCCTATCTCTGCTGTTGCTACCCTGTCTGTGCCTATTCTTCCCTATCTGCCATATGTAAACATAGAGCTATACACCAAAAATTTTACATAGAGTAGCAGTTTTGCTACAGCGGCCTGCCCATTGTTATCGTGTTTGTGTTATTCGCATGTTATTTTATGACTGCGATTTTGAAAAATGTAATTTTGATTATGTTGTTGTAATTTTTTGTTTATGTTTTGATTTTATTGTTCTAATACGTTGTCCGGGCTTGGCCCCATATAAGCCACTCCAAGTCCCCACAGGGGAGATGGTGGTGGGGTATAAATAAAGGTTATTATTATTATTATTATTATTATTATTATTATTATTAAAAGGTGGGGTGGGAGAAACAAAATGGACAGGGTTGAAGAGCTCTTATTCTTTGAGAGCAGGGATTCGTGGCAAAGACTGAAGTCTTCATAGTGATATGAAATTGGTTGGGTTCTATTCTTCTTGTGAAATAGTCAAACAAGGTTATATTTTTAAGGAAGTGCTTCTTTTTTTCTAGATGAAGACTGTGAAGATAAAGCAACTGCTAACTGTGTGTTGGTCCTCAAAGTGAAGCTCTGTTCACACTGGTACTACAGAAAGGCTTGCTGTAGATCTTGCAGGAGCAAATCACGCTGATCCTTCATACGGTCCTTTCCAGCCTGGAAGAAGGAGCTTGACTGAAATACACCAGAAACTTTGATGCCTGACTCACATGGATTCTTAGACTATATCATATCCAGCTTCTAGATTTTTTTGTGTTTCCAGACGTCAGAAAGGCCCTGTTTATAGGCCTTTCCAAAAGACACAATACCTCCTTCCGACAGTTCAACTTCCAAACTGATGGAGCTGCCCACACGTCTTTTGATACAGGTTTTTTGTCAAGTGGAATATCAAAATATCCAGGCTTCATGTACTGCCACCAACACTTTCCTGGCTGTATCTCCTTGGCTGACTCTAAGTTTCTTGTTGATGTTTCAACTCCTTCCCCTATACAGCTCATGCCTTTACATTTATGTAGTGCTTTGGATTGCACAGTTTTTGGGGCAGCCCAAAAGTCTATCACCCCATCTCTCCCTTCTATAGCAACCAATCAGAAAATTGTGGAAAGCCTATAATCCAGATTTCATGATAGTGGCCCTCCCAGACCATAAAGATGCTATGTAATTGTCATGGTCAATATCTGCTGGTAGACAATAATCAGTGTTGGTCCAAGTTAAAGTAGACCTGCTAACTGAAGTATTGAGTAACCAAGTTTCCATTGATTCAGTAAGTCTATTTCAGTTGGGGAATAGCACTTGAATTCTGGCCATATTCTCTAAACCATGTTCTCTATTAATTTGCCCAGTCTTTAAAAGCCATAAATGAAACACAGACAAAAGGTCCACTCACATACCCAAAGAAAGGAACAAGGGATAGTAAAAAAAGTAGATTGCTGAAATGCCCCATATAGCAAGTTGTTTGTATTTAGTAGTCTTCCATCCACTTGATCAGTGTTTTAAAAGCATCGTTTCACAATAAAGAGAGTGAAAACTACATTTGTTTTTCTACAGTGTGAAAACATTTGTGGATAGAGAAAAGGATCCAAGGCAGATGACAAAAGGCAATGGATGATATGGGAGTTTTGAAACTCTGTGTGTATGTATATGAGTGTACACACAGTATCGGACACAGTGTTGTAATTTTTGAGTTTTTTTAATACTGGTAGCCAGATTTTGTTCATTTTCATGGTTTCCTCCTTTCTGTTGAAATTGTCCACATGCTTGTGGATTTCAATGGCTTCTCTGTTTACAACAGCAAAATGCTAATCAAGGTGGTCAGTTGAAACATTCATACCTAGCTCCAGCAGACAAAAGTCCTTTGTCCCACCCTGGTTATTCCACAGATATATAAACCCATTTTCCTACTCCCAACAGACCTCACTACCTCTGAGGATGCTTGCCATAGATGCAGGCGAAACGTCAGGAGAAAATGCCTCTAGAACATGGCCATATAGCCCGGAAAAACCTACAACGACCCAGTGATTCCGGCGATGAAAGCCTTCGACAATCTGTTCACCTTTCCTGAGAGTAAAGTGCATTGAATACAATGAGCCTTCTAAATAAAAAATACCTAAAATTACATTTTACTGGGCTCTGTAGACAAACATCATGGCTTGGCTAGATAATCCATTAGTAACTTAGGCCACATTTGCATTGGCCATAGATCAACAGTGATGATGACCACATGGATCTCACTGAACACTCTGCAGTGTTGCATCAGTGTCCAGACAGTCCAGATGGGTTGAGACTGCTTCAGCCCTGCTGGCCTGTCCTTTTGTCCTCTATGTCACCATTGTCACTTCTTCCTGTCAATAGAATTCCCTGCAAAATGCCTGAGCAATGGGATCACGTCTGCAGAGGTCACAATGGGACACCTGTGATCACTAAAGAGAGCGTACAGCTACCCTTTCTTTGCTGACTGCATGCCCACCCCATTACGACCACAGCAGATATGTCTGCGATGGTAAAGTACTTGCAAGGTGCTCTGTGGGCAACTTTGAGTGGCAGCGGAATGATGATGGCAGCATTGTGTATAAGCACAGTGGCTCAGTCTGAAACAAACCCGATCAAGCTGTCCATTTGACTGTAACGGACTTGACTCAGCTCTCCAGATGACTTCCCGAGAACACTTTAGAGCAGGGGTCCTCAAACTAAGGCCCGGGGGCCGGATACGGCCCTACAAAGTCATTTACCCGGCCCTGGCTCAGTGTCAACCTAAGTCTGAAACGACTTGAAAGCACACAACAGCAACAATCCTATCTCATCAGCCAAAAGCAGGCCCACACTTCCCATTGAAATACTAGTAAGTTTAATGTATTGTCGAAGGCTTTCATGGCCGGAATTACTGGGTTGTTTTTTTGGGCTATATGGCCATGTTCAAGAGGCATTCTCTCCTGACGTTTCACCTGCATCTGTGGCAAGCATCCTCAGAGGATGCTGAATATGCTTGCCATAGATGCAGGCGAAACGTCAGGAGAGAATGCCTCTAGAACATGGCCATATAACCCGAAAAAACCTACAACAACCCACTAATAAGTTTATATTAGTTAAAATTGTTTTTCATTTTCATTATTGTATTGCATTTAAGCGTTTTTTGCACTACAAATAATAGATATGTCGCGTGCATAGGAATTCATTCACTTTTTTTTTCAAATTATAATCTGGCCCTCCAACAGTTTGAGGGACTGTGACCTGGCCCTCTGTTTAAAAAGTTTGTGGACCCCTGCTTTAGAGCTTCCTGCAAATTCCAGAATGTCCCACAACTTTGCTTAGTGCAAAGACTATAATCTCCAGACACTTACCAGAGGTTGCCATGCATCATGATGACCACCAGCATCAGCTTTGCGATATGGGTTTTTGAAATATGTGTAGACATGTCCTTGATTTACTCATGTCCCTGCTACTTCCAACTACTACTTCACCGCCTTTCTGTAAAAACTACTTTACCTTACCAGGGAGTATGTCCTCATCTCCACCATCAGTGACAGCATACGGTTCTCTCACAGCATAGCTGGAAAACATTGCTCTACTATCATGTTGTTGGCAAAGTATTCATGAGCAGGGATGTATATTTGACTTTTTCATTGTACTAAATAATTTCAACAGTTTTTTCGGTACTCTTTCATTATCCAGGTGGAGGCCACTAGGCGACGCTAGAGAGAGAATGATATTCCTTTTTAGGGAGGGGGTTAAGAGTAAAATCATTTCCGGTGACGCAGTGGGTTAAAGCACTGTGCCGGCAGGACTGAAGACTGACAGGTCGCAGGTTCGAATCCGGGGAGAGGCGGATGAGCTCCCTCTATCAGCTCCAGCTCCTCATGCGGGGACATGAGAGAAGCCTCCCACAAGGATGATAAAACATCAAATCATCCAGGCATCCCTGGGCAACATCCTTGCAGACAGCCAATTCTCTCACACCAGGAGCGGTGCTCCTGACACGACAAAAAAAAAAAAATGCAAAATATCTCACCCGTGTCCCTGGTGTGGAAACAACCCTCCTTTATGATATGGAAAAGGGGGGGGGATAACAGCAAAATTTCTTTAAACCTGTGTTTACCCACTTCACTGGGGCTAGAAACTTTCTTAAGTTGTTAATAATAATAATAATAATAATAATAATCCTTTATTTGTACCCCGCCCCGGTGGCGCAGTGGGTTAAAGCACTGAGCTGCTGAGCTTGTTGATCGAAAGGTCGCAGGTTCGATTCGGGGAGCGGCATAAGCTTCCGCTGTCAGCCCCAGCTTCTGCCAACCTAGCAGTTCAAAAACATGCAAATGTGGGTAGATCAATAGTTACCGCTCCGGCGGGAAGGTGACGGCGCTCCATGCAGTCATGCTGGCCACATGACCTTGGAGATGTCTACGGACAATGCCGGCTCTTCGGCTTAGAAATGGAGATGAGCATCACACCGTAGAGTCGGACACGACGACTTAATATCACGAGGAAACCTTTACCTTTACTAAGAGAAAATTGGTGTTTCTGCACTTGATAGGTATCCACATATTCTGACGCACTTCGGGAATTATTCCGCATGGAAATGCATGTTGTCGTTGGTGGTGTGGAAAATTCAGTTTTGTGCAAAAAACAACGGCTAGCACCTTGTTGGGAGGCTACATCATCATAAACCATCTTATGATCATGTAAAGTTTAATCGGGCTGATGTGCAAATTTAATCATTTCAGGAAGGGAGTGGAGACATAGGTTCTACACATACACATGTATACATACCTATTCTGGGATAAGCTGCTCCTGAGCTGCTCCGATGAGGCCAGGAGAATCCTCACAGCACTTTTGGCATCCATATAGCCACTTGGGCCAAGGGTGCTTTGGAGCCACAACGTTACCAGCCAGGAGCAGCTCCCTTGCAGAGGCTTTCTGGCAATATCACTTCTTCTGGTCACATGGCTAAGTAACCTGTTGTGACCTCACCAGAAGCAACATGGCCAGTGAGCCTCACCAAGGTAGCTACTTGACATTGCATGGATCTGTTGGAGTTTTGCCCTTTGGATAGGGCCAGATCCAGCCCAATCGAGCTGTCTACACTTCCAAAACACAGATCACTCTGGAGTTGTATGGAAGCTCCACGATAAATCCCGTTTCCCATCTTTGTTGGGAATCCAGCCATATGTTGTGTGGCCTCTCTGTGGCAGTTGAAAGGTGAGCCCATTTTGGCCCATGTAGATATAATAGTTATGGCTGTTGCAGAATAATCCCATTCTGCCATTTCATGATTGGCCTCTTTGTGCAATGGGAGGCTTTGCTTGGTTTCCTGATGTGCATCAATGCAATTCACCAGAAAGTTGTGCATCTTGTAAGAGAGGTAGCTAATGCTACGTCATTACAAAGTTATACATCTAGTTTTTTTTGCATAAAATAAGTGTTTTTGAAATAACTTTTCACTGTTTTCAGAGAACCAGGAGACTCATTACCTGATTTTTGTATACTCCCCTCTCCATAATGTATTTATTCGCAGAATAATTTCCCAGCATTCTTCAAAATCTATAAACACCAAAGGAAAACTGCAGGAATCTCTTGTCAGTGTGTTATTCTATCCATCAGGGTTTCCTGAATATCAAGTAGCTATTTTTTTGGCATAGAAAATATATAAAGTGATTATTTTTTTCAATTTTTACTCATCCAATAGGTACAAGGTACTCATGGGGTAATTTTTTTTCTTCCCGGAAGGCTAGTCTAGGAAGATCTGGAAGGCAATGATAAAATATACTTCCGTATCAGGTTTCTGTACTGTTTCATCCAGGCGGAGGCACTAGACAGAGAAGGACGGTCCATTTTATGGGATGGTGGGTGAGTTGAAGGAGTAAAACCATTTTCCCCGTTTCCCCCTATTATTCCTCCCACATGTTGCTGTGGAAAGAACTTATTTTATGATATGGGAAGTGGGGTGGGGGATAACCAGCAAAAATGGGGGAAATGGTTTTACTCCATCTCCATCCACCCGCCGAAGGCAAAAGTATGATAGCTGGGATCCAACGCTGTACTAGTTGCGTAACTTGGCTCTGAATTAAGGGAAGATGTGCGCGAGTCAGCGGAGTGAGTGAGAGATGCTGCTACGTCAGAGTCCTGGAAACATTGTTCGCCAGAAAGGGGGTGAACAATGTTTCCAGGACACTGTTTATAATTTAACGGCAAACAACTCTTAACACTACTTCACTCGCCTTAAGCAGTATGTTTGGCTGTTTGTTGTCCGTCCCCCCCTTTCTGTCCCCCCCCTTTCTCACCTGCGTTGCACACGTCTTTCGTTTATTAATTCTGCCCCACGAATTAATCCTTCATTAATTCAACCAGCGTAGGTTCCCAGCTACTAGCGTAGGGTCTCAGCTATCATACTTTTTCCAAATGGACTATCCTTCTCTGTCTGGGCCCACTTTTGGAGTTTGCCCAGATTTGAACAGTGCCCAGATTTGTTCAACAGGGAAAACGATTAAGATGGACAAAGGAGATTGCAGTGGTAGGGACTGTATGGTCTTCCTGACG